TCATTGGAGAGCTGCCATCTTGCCACCAGAGACAAAGTCCACAGACCTTTGCACCAAGATGCAAGCTTCCACCCTACTTTTCTATAAAATCGAACCTTAGCTACCAGTAAGGATGAAAAGCTGTGAAGTCTAGCTTAATTTTCTTTCATTTCTTCCACAAAAAAAAAAAAAAAAAAATGACATTCAAAATATTACAAGAATTATCTTTGAGAGATGTAAATTAACCTTCTGAAGCCATTTTAGTCATGAGCAACTTAGAATCAAACTTATATTGCCCATCTGAAATGTAACCTTGCCTGACTTAGTATAGCCAGGTCTAATTTCCCTGATTAAAACTTCCTGATTATAACAAAAATTTATTTATGGTAAAGCATTTGTAGATTAACAGATCAAATTGGTTCAATAATGGGTAAACAGTGGAAAGAAGGTTGAAAAGCCTGAACGCTAAAGGGATTGAAAATAATTTTGAATATTCAAAACAAGTGAACAAAGCACTCCTAGAAAATATGAGCTTCACCTAGATCCTAGACGGGCCAGGATTTGAGGACCACAGAAACCACACTACTGCAGAACTGTAGCACTGAGGGCTTTTATGCTATCAGCATGAAATGAAATGGCAAATTTGGTCTAGTTCACGTAACAGTATGGTGACCAAAATTATTTCCAGGATGGAATATTTCTTTGTTTCTGTTAGGAGATGTGGACAGGCATCAGGGATAAAGGTCTTAAATGAGACAGTTGAAGGTAGGATTGCAAGGCTTCTTGCTACTGATGCTTTACCCACCCTGTGTATAAAAAGACGACTGCTTACTCTATATTTTTTCACCCAAAAAACACACAAACAAAGGAACTGAAGGCCTATGACTGCAAACTATGCAAAAATTTTTTAGCTTTTTGGGGGTAAATTTAAACGCTATTCAAGGAAATAAAAATAAGCTGTGACATCTTTGTAGCACGCCTTACTAGGAAGGCAATATATCAATACCTAGGGCTTTTCACATCGCCTTTTCAAGCAAGTTTGAAGCCAATAATACTAAGGAGTGTAAAGACAATAATCCTGAAGAGCTGGAAGAAAGCTGTCTAGATGGAGGTCATTATTTTACAGAGAGAAAGTCTGAAATAAAACATAATAGCAAACTAATGCCCACCCTTCTTCTACTGAAGGCAAGAGAACTATTTCAGTCTACTTGCAGAAACGTTTAAGCTCAAAGCATTGAGTAATTACATATTATTAATGCAAAAATATGTACTTACTAGTCTTTATAATAACTGAGCAAATAAAAATGATTGGAAATGTATTTACACTAAATATTCACTATAAAATATATAGTAAGTACTACAAGACCTCTATACTGAACACAAGATTTTATACCCAGCTGACAACTGAAAATTCTTTTTGCTCTTTTTTTGTTGTTCTTTTAATGAAAGCTTAGATTCAAGATAATACAGTGAACAGCAAAAATTGTGGAGAGACCCTAAAAAATAAAAATAAAAATCAATGGTCCTGTAACTATTTTTAGGCCATGCTATTTTCTACTATCCCTGATGCTAAGCCAATTTTGGAGAGATTTGGCTGTGTGTGTGTTTCTGTGAGACATCTGAAATCAGCCATCACGTAAATTATCCCAGAAGCAAACTGAGAGCTGCAGCTGAGTGGAAGGCTGAGCAGAAAGAACATCCAGTTCTCTTAGCCCTTATATGTCACAAGAGGGGGCAGAACGTCATTAGATTCTGCTATGACCTAAGATTACACTGATTTTGCACTGTCAGCTGTTTTTTGTGTGTGTTTTTTGTTGTTGTTGTTGTCGTTGTTGCTCTGGGTTTTGTTTTAAACCATGCAATTTCTATTTTTTGTTACTGATTTTTTTATCATTATCTATACATTCTTTATCACAGCACCAAGTTTAAATATTTCAGTGCTATGTAAAACAATTTATATTCAGAATAGAAAAAAACTCCTCTCTTGTAATTCAAGAAAATATTCATTCCATTTTCCTTTTATGAAAATAACCAGGGACTGGCAAGAGACACAAAGCAGGAGAAATCTGTCAGCCAGAAATGGACAGTTTTTGGACTAAATTTCTATCATCTGAAAGGGAGTGACAACCTCCATTAGCTTTTAAAACAGGTGTACAGTCTACACTAGAGGGAAATTGAAGTGTTGTAAGAGGCTACCCATATCTCGTGATGTGCTTCCTGCCTGCCTGCCTTACGTAAGGTAGGGGTGGAGAGCAAACACTGCGCTGGTTCCCTAAACAGCTGCCTGTAGCTTTCACCAACTGAGATCTGACAAGTCTCCCTTGAAATGGAAAGAATGGAAAGAATCCCATTGACTTAGTGGAAAGGACATCAAGCCTGATATGAACACAAGATCTGCTTCACAGTCACACTTTGTCAGCTCAGCCTTGCTCTCACTGAAATCAGGGCAGTTTTGCTCATGACCTCAACAGGAGCAGCACTAATGTTCTGAAGTCTGAGCTAATTTAGTAACTTATGAATGATAAAGCAAGAAAGGTCTGGTAAGTGAAACATTCCTTTTCACTGAATCTATAATTATTTACATATCACAACTAAATTATTAAGACTTAAAATAAGCAATTCTTAATTAAGATAAGCTATTCTTGCATATGTGTAGTTAGAATACTTGACTCTCTTTACTCTGCTTTACCATCCTGTATTTACAAATTTCTCTCTTTTTTTTCCTGTTTTCTTATTTGTACTTATTCAGCTATCAATTTGCTTTAAAAACAAACAGAACGAGAATGTGCTGTGAAGCAGGAAGCAAGAAAATGCAAGGGGAGAATGACCTCTACAAACATTAAGTTCTGTCATTTATAGCAAATCAGACTCAGGAAAATTTTTCCTCATGCAAGCTCAAAGGCAGAACTTGCTTATTCAAACCATAAGGAGTAGTTTTTTCTTATCTACTTCTTGTCATTTAACACAAATGATGGCTTGATTCACCAAAAATGTGTAGCTTCCATTATTTCAGATGGTATCTGAAAACTCTTATGCCTGCATCAGTTGAGTCAGCACCATTTCTGAAGAAGCTGCCATGACGTTATGATGGTAACATACCTCCTATTCTTAGTATCTTTGTTACTGCTTTTCCATCCAATGCCAGGATTTGCCTTACTGCATTTTTTTTTTTTTGGTCTTCACAGCACCATCACCTGCTGATGCAGCTAGTGCTCTAACCCTGCTGAGATGTTTTGCGCAGCTGCCAGTTCTAACTTGAGCTGTGTGGCCAAGTCCAGGTTGCTAATCTGGAGAATGACGTCTCTGTCTTGTGCTTCCATGCCCAGAAACTTGCTGTCTGTGGTGCGGTGTAAAATTGCACGCTATATATTACAGCCAGAAGTCAACGCTTTATTCAGTTAGAGATTTTGATGCATTTTCTCATGCTCAAAATACAACTAAAATCATCATGCATTAATTCAGTCCTGTAGAATAGCTATTACACAGCAATTAAATGCCATTTATAAAATCAAAGTTGCTAGCTGAAGTGCCACTTGAAATTTAGCAGCCACAAATACAAATTCCTTCACTCAAAAGATTTTTGAGCTTTCCTGAAAATGTTCTTGAAGGTCAAATGAAATCAACTTTTTTTTTAAAACAAACAAACACCACTTTTTGAACCCAAGTAACTAGAAATTTCTGAATGTATGTTTATTCACCAATTGCAAACTTTGTAAAAATCAGCTCCATTACAACCACAGAGCTCTGCTGTTTCCTTCTGGTGGCAATACGGGCATTGTGAAACGGCTGTTTCATGCTGGTAAAAGGCCCAAATCCCCCAGAGTAGTGGATTTGGTATGCTTACAACAATTAGTTGCAGAGAATAAAATGATAAATTAAAAAAAAAAAAAATCTTAGTAATGGCTAAGTTTAAAAGAAAACATTATTTTTTTTTTTTTTACTAACTGTATATGAAATGTGGAAGCAGTACATTTTAAAAACTTCGATCAAATGTTTCAAATTTAGAGCCATGTGAAATTCCAAACTGGATCTAACTTTACTCTCCTTACTATAACTCATTTTTAAAAAAGCAAAGCATACCACCAGGTTGCAGTCCCTTTCCAGGTTCTCAGCATCTATGAAAATCAAGCAGGTTTTATTGAGGAGCTTAAATTTGGACTTAGCAACCTAATTTTAGTCTCTGAAGTTTGAATTTAATTTAATGTGACACTATATTCCTGTACAGGCCAAGCTTGTCCTCATGTTCTTTAAATAAAGCACCTTCAATTTTACTTGAAAGGATGATATCTAAATGAAAGTAGAAGGTTATTTTGTCTCTACTGGTCCTGTAGCTAGAACAAGTGGTTGTGCAAATTATTCCATTCAAACTAATTTATGCCAAAATATGTGGCATATTTGTAACAGGTATCAAGAGCAGATTAACACAAGGTACTCTACAGAGACCAAAAGCTGTCAACTTACTGTCCTTAAAATGTGATCTTACAGGCCATTTGGTGAACCTGTTAAGGTCACAGTATATTGTATGGGTGAAAGGCCACTTTATTAATAGTATGACACTAACAAAACACTACAGCATTACTTTTTGTTCCATTCTTAAATGCACTAGTGGTTTGATAAAGATATACAGGATTTTGGTAGAAATTGAAGGATGGTAGTGGTATAGCTAGGAGCAAAACCTGTGTGCGCCACAAGGTGTGTTCAAGAGGTATCCATTAGAACCTTAAAAAAATAATCACTTTTCTTGGCACCATTGATGAGAATCCATGAGCAACTCCTTCAGAAAAAAGAATGTGCACTGGATGGCTCTACTATTTTTGATAAGCAAAATAAACATAACAATGAGTTTAACATGGCAGAGCTCACAACGAAGCCCAAAGGGGCTTTTTCACAAGTAGCATCTGTAGGACCAAACATTACAAAGAATCAGAAGCTACGGTTTGAAGTTGTAACATCATTTAATCAAGGACTGTACTGCTTCGCTTTGAACAGAAGAAGGAAAAGAGATTTAAAGAATCACCAACCTTGAATTGTCCTCTTGAAGAAAGCCTTGCAGGCCTCGCAGGAAGCCACTCCATAGTGGTACCCCGATGCAATGTCACCACACACCAAACACAGTCTTTTGGGCATCGAGTTCAGCATATATTCACATTTGGTCTGTGAATCTTCGGCGATGGTACTGGAGCAGTCATCGTACCGTTTCCTGACGGGCCCGTTGCCCCCAAGCCCTGTGGCTGAAGGGTAGAGGGGAGGTGAGTCCAGCCCATTCTGATGTCCATTCATGGTGGAACTGTAGCTCCCGCTGGCGTCTGAGGAGCCACCGGGGCTGTGATGGTTGATGCTGTCCGTCAGAGAGGCAGGGCTCGACGGCTCCGTCTTGATGTACGACGAACAGCTAGAATCAATGTGTCGATCTTTGCTTGACATTCTGCAGAGAAGCCTGGAGCGGGGAGAGAGAGAAAGGAATCTGTGTATTAAAGACAGTGCTCTCTTGGTCTGCTCTGGAAGGGTTAGGGACTGCACATCATTCATTCATTAGTCAATACCTCTTGTTCTACATGAAGGTAATCAGCATAAGGGCACGACAGAGCTTTGTCAAAGCTCCAGACAGGCAGTAAACAAAAACTTTAAGAGACCAAACCCATCTGTTGTCCCCTCTACCTGCCTTTTAGGTTACATGTCAACATCAGATCGGCTCTAAATTCCGAACTTGTCATCCAGGGAGTCAAAACATCCTGAAATCCCATTAGATTACTAAAATATTACATTTCTTTTTCTACCAGTGCTTTTTGTTCTGTAAATTCTATCATTGTCAGGGACAAGTATTTTCAAGTTTGAGCATATATATTTTTAGCTCTGCGATTAATATTTGTCAACACACTTGAATAAAACATGTATCCATCATCCATTGAACCGATCTCAGAATTGAAGAGCATGTCTCCCACAAGCGTTTTTTTCTTTATTAATATTGCTTTATTATATATATAGCTATTTAGTAACCGAGTAGCACATCAACTGGGGACTCTAACAAGTAATTAAGGCTGGACTCCATTTTCACAAAATCTAAGTGAAATGATTAATCAGCTCTGGCTGCAATTACTTTCTAGCCATTATCCTCAGACTAACCAGTAATAACTACGCCAGCATCCCATATATCTGCAGCTCTATAGGATCTGACATTTTACGTGTTCCATTCTTGGATTAAAGAAATATATTAGAGGAAATTTTAGATAGAAGTTTTGTCTTTCAGAAGGTGAGATTCTATCTCAGTTTTCACCTTTTCGGAATTAAGCATCTGAAACAAAATCATAAAATATTTGAGCCAATAAATTAGCACTTTTTACAGGGGAAAAAAACCTTGTGTATTCTGTGCCCCAGTTTGATATTATTTTTAAATGCATTTTAGAAAGAATAAAGAACAAAAAAAAAATCTGAAAGCTCTGAATCAGATACCATCTTCAATTTCTACAGCTGTGATTATGAGACCACAGTTGCAAATGGCCTACCCAGCATTTTCCTGACAGTAGCATCTGAAGCTGCCAAGTACAGATGACAGTTATGAGCATTTCTCTAGAATCATTTTCAGCAGAAATGCAACTATTCCGTAAAGCCACCCAACTGGAGGTATAGATTCATGATTTCAAAGCAAGCGCTTGAGTACAGACAATCTAACAAAGTAACTTTCTCAAGTCAGTTTTGAGATTTCAACATCACTCATTCAACTTTTTGCACGTTAAATATAAATGCATACATATTAGATGCATATGTACTAAATAAAATTTTTACTTCAAGCTCAAGAATCGAATGGAAACTAATGGAAGATAGGCATAAATCCAGAGACTTGTCGTATTTTCCAATGAGTGCAATCAAGATCAAAGCCTGACCATTCCTCACAAGTATTTGCTTAGGATAAGATTTGCGATAAAAATCAGTGCCCATCAGAATTATTTAGGATCTCTCAATCACTGTAAATTTTACTGGAAAATACTATTAAAAATAAGTTAGATGTGAATTTGGATAGCGGCCAGACTGATGTGCAGAAATCTCACCCCCCAACTTAAAATCCGTACTTATTTGGGAAGGTGGAAGGAACATGCTATCTGGTGTCAGCAAATAAGCCAAGGAAATGGGAAGGTTAAAGCTGTGGAAATATCTTATTACACTGGACCACCTGCTTGTGTTGTCCTTTCCTCAAGAACTGGAGGGGGGGAAATCCCCTTGCCAGCCTGCGGTACCGTGTGCCTTTTCTTCTGCATCTGCTGCCTTGTAGCCGTCACTGTTAATGAGTGCTGTAATTAATAGATAGCTCTCTCTTGTCTCTCTACTTGCACTCCAGGCTAAGCACTTTTCTCAAGTCAACGTTTGAAAGAAAGCGGGTCGGCGCTGACTTACAGCAGCTCTGCAAATTCCTTTTAATTTAGAGCACTTACACCACCACTCCACTTATTACCTTATAATTACTGGACCGCTCTCACATACATTACGATCTTAGACTGGAGTTAGAAGTTATTAGGGTACTAAAACACGGTGTCGCGCTGTCTCTCTCTCCTCTTTCTTTGACACAATTTTATACAGCCATGATTAAAATTATCAATTAACTTTCACGTTCCAACAACTTATTTTTTATATTGTTTCTCTTTACACTAACAGTGAGGTCCTTTTTATTGAATAAATAGGTACCTGGTGATCTTCTCTTTCCTCTCCTGTCAAAACTCCACCAGACAAGACTCAAAAATAAAGCAAGAGACCTGTTGCGAACCGTCTCTTGTGCCCAGTTTGACGGCACGTTCTTGTCTCTAAACTCTCCTTCTGCTTTTTTTCTTATATGCACAATAATAAGCTTGAAAGTCACCCTCCACTTCCTAGAAAAGCCATTTGCAATTAATTAGTTGTCCAAATGTATTGGTTTTAACCAGCGCGGAAGCGGCTGTCTCCACTCGAAGCGGTCAGAACCGAAACACGGTTGCAGTTCCGTGAGCATGAACACACACCAGAAGCTCTGTGCAGGCTGAAGCTTGCCTGCTGATGCTCCTGGAGCAGTGCTTTCTGGTGCTGACCAAAATATGGCTGCTTCAAGCTGCAAGCTTCCAAAGCACGGGCTGGCCTGCTGCAGGATGGCAAGGTAAGGCCCATAAAACGTTAACCTTTCCATGGGAAGCAGAAAACACCAGCCAAGGTCGCAAGGAGAGAAAGTTTCTCTGTCCCAGAGCAGGGAACCAGGGGAAGGGCTGTGCACCCATGGGTAGCATCAGCATCCATCAACCTGCTCTGTTGCTGCCGCACCGCAGCTGATGAGGCCCTTTGTGGATGGCAGCTGGTGCCACCACCCCAGAGCCTGGAGTAGTGCCTTGGCTACAACCCCTCCCTCCGCTCCTCCTAATTACTACTTAGCTCGTTACCCTGAAGAATTCCTAGACATCACCACATTATAGTCTAAAACTACAGTCGGAGCTTAATTCTCCCTTCCTCTCTCTGTCTGAAATTCTACAGCTCTATTATTCAAGCCTGAAATATTCACAACTATCTATAAATTCAATTGTCAGCCAGTGGATTTTATTCTAAACCTGACTTCAATCTAAAATTAGAGGCACTAAAATTCACATTAACTCTAAGAGGAATGTAGTGAATAAGACTTTATTTCAAAAGAACACCTTTTTGTCAGAAAGAGCTATTTTCAAGATGATGGCTTTATCTGCATTCAAAGAGAATAAGCGCAATTCCACATTGTGCTGTTAATGCAAAATTTTTAGGTCACATTGGATTAATAAAAATCTAAATTTAGTTAAGGTTTATGAATAGAAATAACATGTGTCATATAAAAACGTGCAGTATTTATTTTAAAGCCTTGGTGGGGTTGTTTTTTTCCTTTACTATATTTTAAGTCAAAGCCACAGCAGCTCCAGGGAAGTTTTCAAATAACCTGGAAAGCTCGGGTGAACTTTGAGGAACTGCAGGGAAAGCAGCTGATAGGCTCCTGAATCATTCCATATTTGCACGCACGAGAAACTACACAGAGTGCTGCAAACTGCTAGTAATACGCAATACGTAGTACAACGCCTCACATCCTTGCTATATTCACTTCCCAACTTTTGTCTTTAAGTGAGACCAGAAGCCAGTTTCTGCTGGTAGAAAGGGAAACCAACGGAGCACTTCAAAACCCAGCCCTGCTTCAAAGTAGCCTTACACAATAGCGAACAAATTGTATGCCATGTGCTTATGGAAGGTTGAATATATTAAAAATTCATTAATGCAATCACATTCATATTTCCATCTACCTGCCACATTGCTAATGATATTGACAGCGCTGACACTAGCTAAATCAGTATCAATATACAAGCAGAGTGCAAAAATTAACCACATCTGATTAGAGCGTATAGCCTTAAAAAAAGAAAGCCTTCCCATTCAAGTCATATGTACCCTTGCATACAATTGGTTCAGGAAATTGTTTTTCCCTTACTGTCAATGCCTAAAGGAGGTCAAAAAAAAACAAGACAAGACTTCTTAATCTGCAAGCATACTTTAGGAACAAAAAGCTCTGCTTACAGTATCATTCACTATTTCAGAGCTGTACTGGTGGCTTCAGTGAGAGCAGTAATTAGTCACAATAATTACAGTGAGCACCTTTATTATAAACCAGCAGAAAATCCCACTTTTACCTGCACATGAAGTTTTCAGTTCTTCTCTTGAAAAGAGAATTGTTCTACTTCCATAAAGGCCAGGCTGTTACCAGCTGATATTTTTAGTGACAGCTACTGGTGGGAGCAGCAGTGAGGCAGATGTCATTATGCACACGTAGGAGCTCTGTGCATTAACAGGGCCATCCATCTGATGTCTCTCAGCACAGTCCTCTAACCCATATGCATGCAGACCCAAAACATCTCACCTTGTTATCCTCACCTTTTGGCTGCAAAGAACCATTGCCTATAAGCAAGTCCATGTGAGAAGCCTACAGCAGAGTGAGGGATGGAGCCCAGCTCCTTGTTCTAACCATGAAGACCACACTTCCTCTCAAAAACCATGGTCACTTACAGAATCCGCACCAAAAATCAATAGGGAACAGTGAGACACTGCAGTCATTCCCACACCTGTATCTCTGAATGCAGGAGAAGAGATCTGCGTGGAAAGGAATGGCGATGCAGCATCTTGCACAGATGCCTGTAACACCCCAAGCAGGTCCTGTGCAGGAGCCATGGTGCAATCTTGGCCATGCTGCTTCACAACAAGCTTTTTTTTTTTTTTCTTTTTTTTTTTTTCCTCCAGCTAATTGCACTTCACTAAAGTGGCAAAATGTGAATCACTTAGGAGGAAAATGGGCACCAGCTGCTATTGTCAGAGAATGGAGATGCCAAAGAAAAGGCAAGTGACTGAATGAAGTGTCATGTCAGAAATCAACGGTGCAACGTGTGATTTGAGAAAACATGACTACTTTGCAGAGACAGGGTGTCATTATGGCATCACAGTAATACGGTGCTTTGACAACTGCTGGCTCTAACATATCATCATTGCATTAAGGTGCACTGGCTTAGTTGGGGGAAGGAAAAGAAAGGATTTCTTTTTTAATAAGAAATATTGTAAGGTCCACTTGGTTAACCTACTGGATGAGATCATTAATTGCAACTATTGCTAATCTCATTCCGTGCATGCACAAACAAAACTGTCACTACCTACTAGGTCTTTGTTAATAAACACCCACGTACTATGTACAACCATGCAGTAAGATATTTTGCACAAAATGGAATAGTGGCAGCTTTCTATTTATATACATTATTTTTAAAAAACCGTTGAATTTGTCATAATTTCCCATAATTTATTCTTTCATTTCTGTTTTCCCGAAGCCCTCACCACCTCACCATGGCAAGGTGAAGTACCGCAGCAACTGCTGCAATCAAAGAGGCAACACCGCTTGCAGCCCTCACTGAGCTCCCAGCAGCAGTGACAGAGGAGTGCCCAGAACTGCACCAGCCTGCAGGCAGCCCAGGCTTTGCTGCAGCACTCACTGCATGCTCACTTGGAGTTGAGCAAACCAATCCAAGCCTTCACATTTGTGCCTCACCAGAGCCTGTTTTCTAGGTTGCTTTTAACAACAGAAATTTTTCAAGTAATTTGCAACACCTTGGAAATGAGGGGGAAACTATTTTAACACCCCTCTTCTAGGTATAAATATTTGTTATTGCTTCCCTTTCTATTTCAAGCTGATTCCCTCTGCTTCCTGGTTGATAAACTTTGTTAACAAGAAGGAAATGATCCTGAGATACCCCAATGTGTTGCATATTATCACTGTTGACAGCTCCTGCATTTAAGGCTTACATCTGATGCAACAATGCATACTACTATCATTTATCTTTAGCTCATTTCCTCAGCCCTATTTCCTCCAAGGGTGAGCATCTCTTGTTTAGAGCTCTTAATACTGCAAGAGAGCAACTGGCAAATCAATAAAACTCTTAAATGCATAATAATACTGCGTAATTACTTACATGATGTTTGCATAATTAACTGTCTGAGGTATTCCATGATATAATGGATACTCAGAGTACGGAATAACCCATAAGCCTATAAAACACATAGTGTTTATATGAACAGAAATTACGTTTAAAACTCTCATTCTAATAATCCAAATCAGGCCCTGGCACTATATGACAGAAAGCCTTCCTCTCCTGCCAAGCCTAAATCAATTCTTATGGCATTACTTCGTAACTAACACGATATTTCACTGATGATGACTATTATCCTGATTACTAGGAAGTAATGTAGTAACAGCAAAAATACACTTAGATTAAACAAACTACTGCTATTTAATCAATATTATTGAGACAAACTAAGTGTTTTAATAAGTCTGTATAGATGCACTAATGCAGGTTTAATTAAATGCATCCTTAGACGTGCACAAGCTTTGCAACTTACAGCTCCTATGATTTGACAGACTGGAACATAACTCTTCTGAATTTAAAAGCAGAGGCACTTAAGAGCCAACAGCATTTAAATCCTTTCATGCTACAGAATGACTGTTCTTTTCATCAGGTACTTTTTGGGGAACAAAAAGTGAACAGAGAAAAATAATTAAAGGCCTTGCACCTTTGGGCCAAAGCACCAGACACCTGAAGAAGTGCCAACCCTCAGTAACACAGCTGTGCATCCAATATATGGCACTGAAGCGCACACCTCCAAACAAGAATATCTCCAACTGAGAAGTAAAAAATAAAGCTGAGAGGAAAAATCGCAGAACTGACCTTTATGTTTGCAGACATGTAAGCAACAAATATCCTATTAGCTGTTATGCACTACCAACAGACCACCGCCACAGAAAGCTTCCTCTGGAAAAGACCAACTCCTACAAATGTTGTCTCCTTTCTTTTCTATGTGCTCTGATGAATCAGCTTACAAATATTCAAAAAAGGAAAAAAAAGAAAGAAAAAAAGAAATAACTGAAGGGAAGACAACACAAGAAGTGGATGCGGATAGCACTTTACACTAAAAGCATTCTGGGAGTTCCACAGAAAAAGAACATACAATATTGTCTATGTATATGTATGTGTCATAATTGTGGGGTGCATATGTCATTTTAGACATCTATGACTCAACTTAAACATCTGTAAATACTTCATATTCCTACTTGATTTTTAGGTTTCTCTTTTCTCCTGTTTCTAACACTTCCACAGTTAGACCAGGGCTGTTTTTTGCATTTACTGCTCACTACAACACAAGATTTCAGACTCACCATCCCCTGCTGACTGGCCTCCAGCATCCTAACACCCCCCAGCTGTGCTGCTACAGTGGCTCACACAACACAGCTCTTCACAGCCTGCACACAATGTGTCAGAGTTCCTGTGCCCAGGTTTAAGAAAGACTGTGATGTGACAATTAGAGAGACGGCCAAGCCTGATCATATGAAAATCAGTCTATTCATCAGAAGAGTAAGATTTTATCACTCTATATTTTCAAACTGCAGACTAACGTCTTCAATTCGCAGCACATATTGGAAAGGAGTGATGTCTCTGTTTAGGGAGCCTGGTGTTTTCGGTGCTGAAGCCCCAGTGCATGGAGGATGCACTCCATGGGAGCAGGTGGAACCCACCTGCTGCCTCCAGCCCCAGGGGATGTGGTGAAGTGTCGAGGAGTCATCTGATCATTCATTGTGGGGATTCTTTTCTTATTAAGAGAAGTCAACTGAAGTAGCAAACAAAAAAATCAAATGCTACATTCAGCTACTTCAAGGGAGAAAAATACAAAACTATGAAAATATGCAGAGATTTATTCAAGAACATAACAGGCTTTTTAAAGAGGGATTATTTTGAAACGATTACAGCATCAAAAGCAGTAGCTCGGCCCAGTCAGTAAGCCAGTACCACAGATCAGAGACACACAGCTGCCACTCAGCACTTCCCAAAAGGAAAAAAAGATGACAAAAAATGCCTTCAGTCTCAAGACAAATTTTGGATCGTGAGATTTTCCCCAATTTCTGCCAGCATTTCCCTTCCCTCAGAGAGGTAGCGCGTAGGTGTGTGCATGCCATGTACCTGCCTCCTACCCAGCTCCCCTCTGTGATTTTCTCTGGGTCTATAATGGAAGAATGATAATTTGCTAGCCAAATTGCAGGAGTAATTAGAAAGACAGTACCAGGAATAGCAGCAGGGAGCCACAGCTTGGAGGGCTCAGGACTCCAACTTTGGAGGCAGCAATCTTCTCTCTGCCCCAAGCCCAGCCATCAGCACCATTCCCCCCCATGTGGCCACAAAGCTACTTGGGGAGCTGGGAAATGGCATTTGCCTGCAATCAGCCTTTAAGTGAATGTTTGTCCCAGTGTGCTACACCATGCTGTCAGCTAGCAGCAGGGAGCTGCTGAGTTGTTACTACATTTGATTTGACTGCCAGTAGGAAGCTTTATTTCTACCAACTGTTCGTTGCCAGCTCTATGGATCTTCTCTAACTTTGATTTTTTTTTTTTTTAAATATACTCTATTATTTTGCACTGACTGTATGGCAGGAGAAGCTCCCCATCACTATGTATCACAGCAGTCTCTCCACTTGTACTAGCTGCCACAAACACCAAGCAGTAATTGTATTAAGGCACCTGTAGCGTGTTCCTGGCACGCACCAGAAAGGCAATTTTTTAACAAGTGAACACCCAAAGGGGAGGTGCCAAAATGGATATTAATATAAGCAAACTGAAGCAGGGCAATTTCCTTCTGATTTTTTCCTGAGAAACGTGGGATTACAACCTGGTGGATAAGACATGAAGAGAAGCCAAGTGGGTTTCCCTTCCCTAGGGACTCTCCATGTCTCCACATGCTTGCCAGCAGAGCCTTCAGGAAGGTTTGTGTTTGCTTGACTATTACTCACATCTATCCCAAAAGGTTTCTCCTCCATCAAACCAGATCCTACAACTTTAAGGGTTGTTTACAAAGCTTCCTCTCCCAACACAATAATGATGATTTTGATAATTAGGATCTAATTATAATGGATCTGACAACAACTTCCAACAACGAAAAGCATCTTTAGAAAAATGAAAGCATATGCGTGAATAGTGCAGGGAGGTGGGGCAGGGGGAGAAATACATTCCTGTGAGACAGGCTGAGAACTCAGCCTGAATGAAAAAGTAATTAACACTAAAGAGCTAAAACTGTAATTAAAGAAAATTTCATTAAAAGGAGGCAGGTGATTCCACTTTCCTAAATATGACAAGGTGCTGTATAAAAATAAAACAGCAGCCGCTTTCAGCGCGCGGAGCAGGAAAGCCGTGTCTTTAACCAGATCAAATTCTGGAAATTGGCTGTCAAGACGGGATTGTTCTGATTTATACCCGTCTATCAAGCGTATGAAAGAGAGAGACAGGAGAGGAAAAGAAGCAAGCTGCTGTCGCTTCCATTCGCAAAGCACCTTTAATTTCCACGGCACCATCTGTTACCAAATCTAATTCACATTCCCTCCTAATCTGGTTTAGTTCCGTAATACTAATTCTTCCACTACTCTTATGGACATCGCTCTCAATAAAAAGCTTTGGTTCTGGGCTGGTAAAAAATTGAATATTATACAGTTAAGGTTCTGGTGACTTAAGTGAAGCATGTTGTCCATTAAAATGCACTTCTGGTAAAAGGATTTGCTTCCAGTCAGTGCAGGGATCCGGAACTGCTCCTGTTTGAGAGCAGCAGCCACAGGGGGGTGGGAGAGGGAGAAATGGGGAATAAGGGAGAAACCACAGCCGATGATAGGAAAGTAGACTGGGGATCTGAAAGCAGAGGTTGTCATAAAATACAATTGTTGTCAAGTTTAGTCACTTTCAGTACTGGCTATAAAATCACTTTGTCACGCTCCCGTACTGAAAGCTTGGAACTGTATTTTTGCTAAGAAAACTAAAAGTAGTGAAATCTAAAATGCTAGGGGAGGGAGAGGTATGAGGAAGAATACTTCAAAATGGTGAGATGAAAATGTCTGCGAGACACCAACAAGTGAGGGACAAAAATTCAAAAGTTGTTTAAAATAGTCTCCTGAATAGCAGTATTTCACACAGAGCCACAGCCTGAGTCTTAGCTATGTGAGGATGACAAAAACCATGCTCATTTTTGAGAGATCTTGCCTGGGAATAGAGCAGAGGACAAACCCTTCCTGCATTGCAGCCAATCCAGAAAGGCAGCTGGGGGCTCTGCTGCTGCTAAGGTGATTGGGCTTGCTTCTTGGTTAACACCACATTTCTAAATATTCCTACCAGTTACACTTGTACTTATATTGTGCTAACATTTATTAATAATATCCAACTTATACATTCTGATTTTAATGCAGACCTTGAACTGCATTTTCAGGGATTTTAGTATCCTATTATCTCCTTTTCATGGATGAAGAGACAGTGAAGAGTTGCTGAATGCTCCTTTGCCAGCTAATAAACACGGCATGGGACAGAACTGAAGTTCTAGAAAATCCCAATTGGAGATATATATATATATATATATATATATATATATATACACATTTTTTGTTCCCCCTTGTTGCCATTTCTTTCACGAAACCACAACTTGGATGTACAAAGTTTTACTTTTTTACTTCTATTAAGGGAACTTGCCTTGAACTTCCAGAAATGAGACTTTGATTATTTTTACATCGTTTTTTCTATAAAAGAATATTATTTTAAGGTTGAATATATCTAAATTAAATCTACTCATACATCTACATTGAAATGGTTACTTTCCTATTAAAGTATTTCTTTGTGTGCATGGGTCAAAAGCCTATTACAGGGGAATAGACTCAGTGACTCTGAAGCTCTGAAAATTTTTAGTTAATGGTGTTATTCCCCAGCCTGAATTCAGAAAGCCTAAGGTCCTGATACTCTGATAAACAAGATGCCACAGGTATGCCACCATAACCTACTGCATCCAGAAAGAGACACTCTGACACTGAAGTACTCAGAGGGCATAGCAATCTATACTTTTTTGAGCATTTGTGCGACTTGAGTCCTATCTGTAAGCACCAATTTCTATTTCTACACTATATCTACATTCCTTAAGATTTGCCAATGAGAACTCTAAGAAAAACTTAATCTCTTTCTTTCATTTTTCTTCTCTTTGTTTATCTATCTTGATTCTGGAGGCTCTGGAAATTAAGGGTAAGTAAAAATATTTGGATACGCTCCTGATAACCGAAGCCATCACATGCTGAAATACATCAGAGAATTTACAGAAGCAAAAATCTATTCAGGTTAAGTCCCTTCTAGTCTGTCTTGGATTGTAATGTGTGATTACAGATTTTTAAAAATAAATAAATAAACCTTTGGCTTTTCACAGTTCCTCGTTCTTCACATATTGCTATGTGTAACTTAAACCTACTTATGCCACTGGGTTTACACATCAGAGCTTTGCCTCTGGATACAAGCAGCAAAGGTCAGCAAGGAAGTAGCCACTGCAGCTTTCACTTTCCAAATGTTTGCATGACTGCAGCAAGTTTGCAGGACGAGATTTTCACCACGTCCTGATAAGGTTTCAACTCTTTTACCCTTAGCTTTCTATTTCTTTCTGTAGCCCTTAGCAAAAAAGAAAAATGTTTCGAAAAAAACTTCTAAAGTAAGAAATGTTTACCAGACTAATTATTACACTCAGAACAAGTGTGCTGCTATTTGCAATTGCAAGCAATCGTATCAACATTCTGCAGTTACCAAATGCTTAACCCGTGGTCATCTCTTGGGTAAGAATTCACCCAGAGATTTGCCTAAGCAAAGCTTTACAAGAACAGCCACACATTAATTACTTCATGCCTACATGCTGTAAATTGCAGTTATATTTTGATGACAAATTAGCTTTCATTATTTCAGCAGTATGAAGTCTGGATCAAATACGCATTCTTTGTAGATCTAGAATTTCTGCTTAAGCCCACTGTGTTTAAGTAAGCAAGGAAAAAAAGAAGGCCTTGAAGAAAGCATTATGTTCCACCAGTAAGATAACTGAACACACATGAGCCCAAGAAGTGCTGGGCCTCACTGGTTCTAATGCAAGTTTGAGCTGCCCAGTAAATTGATTATTAGCCCTAG